GGTGCCACAAATTTGGGTCTTCCTCTGGTGCCACAAATTTGGGTCTTCCTTACTTTCAGCCACTGCAATGGAACCACGTGCATCTATCGTCATGTAGAGGGACCCTGTCTTCGTACCACGGGCAACAACCATGGACCCCTTTGTAACCTTCCACGTATCACATGCGAAGGTTGATACATATCCCTCTTTCGCCAATTGTCCTATGGAAATCAGATTTTTCCTCAAGCTACGAACATGTCTCACATCACTCAGCTTCCATATAGACCCATTGAGCTTGATCTGCACGACTCCTTTGCCAACAATATCACAGGGCTGATCGTCACCAAGATAGACTTTTCCTAGGTTTCTTGAAACATAGTTCTCAAATAAATCTCTATTTGAGGTAGCATGAAACGAAGCTCCTGAATCCAGCACCCACGATTCAGTCTTGCTCTCCAACGAACAGATTAGGGCATCATCTGATTCTCTTGAGGCCACGTTCGCTTCAGTCTTGTTCTCCTTGTCTTTCTTGGGTTCCTCCTGAATCCAGCACCCACGATTCAGTCTTGCTCTCCAACGAACAGATTAGGGCATCATCTGATTCTCTTGAGGCCACGTTCGCTTCAGTCTTGTTCTCCTTGTCTTTCTTGGGTTCTCGGCACTGATTCTCATAGTGGCCAAACTTGTCATAATTCCAGCAATCGATCTCCTTCTTGCTCTTGCGATTTCTGGACTTTGACCTCCCGTTCCTCGAGTTAGGTCTTCCTCGGCTATTCCCTCTATTTATGTTTCTGTTTCTTCCTCTGCTCTCAAGATTCAACGCCGACCCTGAATTAGAAATCTCTTCCTCTTGTCTTCTAATCTCCTCAGTCATAATCATGTCCACCACATCTGAAAACTTCAGTTTTGATTTGCCACATGATCCGCTAATCGAGATAACGGTACCTTTCCAACTGTCGGGTAATTGACCAAGTATCAAGAGGGCTTGGATTTCATCGTCAAACTGAATATTGACCGAGTTTAGTTGATCCGTGATCTCGTTAAACTCGTTCAGGTGTTCCTTGAATTTCTGGCTCTTGGACATCCTCAAATTAAACAGCTTTTTAATGAGATGTACCTTATTCGCCGCAGAGGGCTGCTCATACATACGGGACAACGCCGCCATGAGATCCGCCGTCGTATTCTGATTCTTGATGTTGAACGCTACTGATTTAGACAAGGTCAACCTGATCGCTCCAAGGGCCTTTCGATCCAATAGCTTCCAATCCGCATCCTTCATATCAGTCGGCTTCTCTCCCAATGGTAGGTATAGATCCTTCTGATAGAGGTAGTCTTCCATCTGCATCTTTCAGAACCCGAAGTTTGTTCCATCAAACTTCTCAATCTTGGATGTTTCCTTCTCAGATCCCATGTCTCTGACCTCAAATCGCTCGCGCCGAACCTGGTCGCTCTGATACCACTTGTTGAGGATGCACAACCCCCTGATACGATTTGGAAATAGAGATTTAGGAGAAAAGAGAGAAAATCAAACAATCTCAAACACACAAGATTTACGTGGTTCGCTTCTCAATGTGAGAAACTACGTCCACGGCCGCCGCAGGAGAAAAATTCACTATTTGTCACTATTAGCATTATGCCTAATCAGCCCTTTATAGAGCTAAGGGTTTAACAACAGAAACAGAAAACAGGCTCAAAAACAGCTACTAGGCAACAAACCGACTCGTGGTCGACCGACCGGGCGGCCAGAGCGCGGTCGATACCGCTGCCACGCGCGTCGCACGCGCGCACTGCTCGAAATCCAGAAAAGTTTTCTGAGTTTTGGCGTTGTCGGACGTCGCGCACGCTCGCGGTAGACCGCGAAGAAGGCTGCTGGCTTGCTGAAGTCTCTGGACTTTTGGCGTGCGACCGCCGCGCCACGCGCGCGTCGACCGCGGACGAGTTTTTCACCTCTGTGTGCTGTTCTGTGCACGTCGGCGGTCGCGCCGTGGCCATGCGGGCGGGTCGTACCGCGACTCAGTCAAAATGCGTCCTTCGTCGTTTTGCTTGAACTTCGTCGTCGTCGATCCTGTTCCTCCTGTTCTACTTTGTTCCTCTTCATTCTGAAGTATAGGGCAGGTCTGATAGTTAGGCTTCACATATCCTAACAGAATGATCTCAAGCTTCCTTCATTGCTTGGTTGTTTTATATAAACACTAAATGAAAAGTGTATGTCACACCTTAACCCCAAGTAAATTTACTGCATGATATACAAAAAGTGAAAATTTGAATTTATGAACTCAGTACTTAACAATAAATGACATTTATTGAGGGAGGAATAAAAGAAAAACTACACCTTTGAGAAAGTTTAGGATGGATAGCCTGCCACAAAGTTCTCTTTGGAGAGTTGCATTTGTAGGCATCTAAACCAAACAGGTCCGCTAAGCATATGCATAAATGCATAGAATTTCCCAAAAACCATTTTACACCTTCCTCCTTTAGCATCAAATTAGCCTTCAACTATTAGAACTATATGGTAATTCTCTGAGACTGCTTCAGAGAAATGTGTATAAAAGCATGTTTCGAATTATTATGATAACCCTGTTTGTCTGACAATAAAATGCTGAGGCTCTTGTTTTCACTCCACCATTAACTAGCACTCGCTTCGCTTATATAGCACTTCCAATCCTTGCTCGGTGGCAACAAGAGAAATAACCCTCGTTTGCCAACTTCTTTAGAATTTTACTCAAAAAATTAGGCTATTCTATAAAATATTAAGAAAATATTGTCTTTTATTCCTTATGTTTCATTTTTTATTGAGCCTAGATCTAGCCTTCTTCACTTTTATCTTTTTCTAGGGTAATCGTGGAGTGGTATTTTCATCATCTATGTCAATTGTGACATCATGTTGGATCTAGATTTCTTGTGCTATATATTATTTTTCCCTAGGATCATTCATATTTTATCTTCTCATCTAACTTTACAAGTAATTTGAATGAGAAAAAATGCTAATGAAAACAAATGTTAATTTTATATATTTGACAATTTTTCTATGTTTCTAAATCATTACTTAAGTTAAGTTAGGATTGACCTATTTTTTCTTTGTAATCAATTCTTGTGTTGTGCATCTAATAAAAGTTTTTACTGTGTTAAATAGTGTTACCTTTGCAATGTCCTAAGTCATCATAGATTTTGCAACATTTATCATTTGGACACTCGTTATTAACATCTATATCCACCTTTTTGTTGCGGTCTTGACAAGCGAAGAGCCACAACTCAAGTCTACTATAACTGGCAGTTATCTTTGCCTTAAAGGTGTAATAGCATATCTGTATATTGTTAATTTTTAATTAAGCTTAATTGTGTAAATTATAGAGTATGTTTTTTAAGATCATACCTCTTTCGAATGTTGGGATGCTCGCATAATATCGATAAGTTAAATTTTTGTTGTATATGTAAATAGCCATGATGGAGATGCATTTATCTTGACGTTCTGAATGAGCTCAACATATTAATTTAAAAATATAATATTTATTGTTTATTGTCTTATATGGTTGTTTTTTCCTTGGAATTTTGGCTTTGAAAATGATGGTAAACAATACAATTTTCTTCCTTCATTCAATTCCTTGTCGTGTATGGACTTCTATGTATACCATTTACTTAATATCATAGGGTGTTGTATGCGGTGTTATGTTAATCCTGAAGATTTTTCTCATGGACGTTGTTGGCATAAAAAATATCATCTAATGGCGGGGCTCATAATTAGTCATGTGGTAGTAAATTGAGGAAGAAGTTTCTACTTGACCTGTGCTTTCCCTTCTTTAACTAAGGTTGTCCATTGTTTAGTCCATACAGGTCGAGGGCCACAAAGTTGTACTGTGAAATCAACACAGCCATTAATTATGGAATAAATATTCTGCATGTGTAACATCAAATAAATCTAGTATTTCTGTTTTTTTTCCCCACTCCCTTGTATTTCTATTGACTCCCATGTCTCATCTTCTTTGTTCTTTGTTTGGTTATTCAGGGCATTGATTTGCATTTTCATTCAAAAAGAAATCCAGTCTTATGCAGGGATCCAAAATTTGAACCGACATGTAATGATAATGCACCAATCTTGGGAAGTACTACCATGCAGTAATTTCATTTGAGTACCTTCTAGTTTGAAAACGTTTTCACTTTCTTTTTTGTGGTAGTGGAGTTAATTAACGTTTCGTTTTCTTGTTCTTTTTTTTACATAAAGGCATTTAATTTGTAAATCCTAGTCTTTAAGAATTAAGTATTTCTGAAAATTGTTTTGCTGAGTTAATATTATTTTACTGGTTTTTCCAAAAACCTGGCGAAGACTGGAGATTATTGACCAAGTCGTTCCTGGAAGACTCAGGCAGCGCCTTTTTTCCTTCAAGTCACGTGGTAGAAATCGTGACCTTTCCTAATGCCTACTAATATCAACAAAAATTTTCATTTTTTTAGATACAATAAATCTATTTGCACAACATGCACAGCCTTCTCACCGTCATCCTCTCTCTCCTCTTCTTCCTGAATAAACCCCTAAAATCCCTTGCAAATCCAGAAGACGACTTCTTGAAAGCATGCCCGCCCTCCACTTGCGGATCCGGGTCCGGATCGTTACAGATCCGCTTCCCCCTCCGTCTGCGATCCGCTAACGACACCATCCTCTCCCTCCCTTCGCTGCCCCCTTTCAAAGTCGCCAACATCAGCTACGAAAGCAGCAGGCTGACCCTCGATCTCAGATCCTGGTTCGGGCCCGGGTCCGGTCCCTGCCCGCTCCTCAACCTCAGCTCCCTGCTTGCCAATCTCACTACTCCAGTATATAGTCCCGTGACCCAGTCTGTGAGCTGGGCCCGGTGCTCAACGAAATTCGTTCCGTGTTCGGGCCCAAACTGCGGCGACATTGCGGGCCCGGCGCCATCCTGCTTTGTTGACGAGGGCTATTTTGTGTACGTTGTGGCTGAGTATGAGAAGATGGACGCTCTGCCCCGTGATTGCGAGGTGTTTCAGACC